ACACTCTTTTGCCTTCCAGTGGCTCTGCTGATAACAGAGATAATTCCTCTATACATACGCCACCCCTATATACTTCACACAGTATGTTCTGTATACAGTAGACAGACAAACAGCTACTGTTTGGGAGCGCAGGGAGGACTTAAACATGATAAACAGGGAATTACAAAGCGAGGACCTTTTGGGGACCATGAATACACTGGTACGACTGCACAAGCACAATAAAAAGGACAACGTGGAAAACACCGAGGAAATAAACTATGACTAAAAAATTAATCTTCAACCGTGGTCACAGTGGTACGAGGAAGTGCCTTTTACACAAGTTCTATTAAAGAAATGTCAGAGAACACGTTGTTTGCACATTGGAGCAAAAATAGATTACTAATCATTAAACAGGAGCAGGTTTCCAGCGGTCAATGGCACTACTACAAGCATAGCTACAACATCACAACAGTGCCTGGCCGTCTTCTTAATTCTCAGAGGAAAACTGTTGATCTCATAACAGGAGATGGCTCAATTGACCTTAACAGAGGGTGCAGACAGAAAGGTTAAGCCATCGAGGACACTGATGTCATGTCTTAAATATTTTTTCTGGAAAGTATTTTTGTAACTTTGGGAAGAGTTTACCTTCTACAATTTAAAAATGATACATGGTGTGTATTTGTGTAGGCCAATTCCTGCCAAAAAAGAATAGGCAATATACACAGCAGGCTATCTTTGAACTGTATCTGAACTGGATTATGTTAAGACCAACAAAAATACATGAACAAATCATGGAGGAATCAGCATTCTCCAACAGAATTTATTTTTACAGTTTGTTGAGAAATAAAAGTGCAATGCTTTATTTTATTTAGGGGTCTGTAATTTCCAAATTAGTTTTAAAAAGCTTGCTGGGAAACAACCATGTAATTGGGTACTTATTATAGAGAAAGTAGAGACAATGGTTTCTTTTGAGTTTTTAAGCAATTGTTAATGTCCAAGCGAAATTTCTAAATTAACTATTTCTAAACTAAATTAAAATAAAACTTGCACAAACACTGCTTTGTAGATTGGGGAAGGGTGTTGGGAGGAACATAAACACTCATGGCTACGGCCCTGGTTACACCAGATAATGGGGGGATGGAGGAAGGTGAAAAATACCAAAGAAACTCATAATCCAACCAAAAAGTATATAAAAACTCTACTTTTGTCAACTCCCAGCGCTCTATAGCTACCAAAACCAAAACTAAGAGCAGCAAACTTGAGAGATACCACGATGAAGCGATACGTGTCTGTCACGTTATCAGCAAGTTTCCAAAACCTGCTTCCAACCAACAGACACGAACCGAACAGCCAGAGAGACCACTGTGCATCCAGCTCCTATCTGATCACACTACTCAATTCTTGAATGACTCAGCAGAAAATCCACCCAATTAAAACAGTGGGGCTGTTTTTGTATGTGTGTGTGTTTGTGCTTGTGTGTGTGTGTGTACATGATTCATGCTCCCTATTGGCCGAAAAAAAAAAAAAATACTTAAACACAATGAAGCCCTTGTTCCCTCAAGCTATGACTGATAACTGAATTATTCTATTATTCCTTCTTCCTCTCCTACCAAAGTCTAGGGAAGGGCTTCTCAAAACTGAAGAGCAGAACGTGACAATCTGCACAGGCGAAGATGTTCCAGAAATAGCACCTTCGGTAAAAAGTGCTCCATACAGTGCCGAGTGTTGAAAAGTTTTTTGGTACCGACCGAGATATGTCTGTAGAAGCAAGAATCAAAAACTGTCAAGTACTGAAAGCTGGTGTTGAACATCTGGTCAGAGTCATACTTCGTTCCTTATTCACTGATCAGTCACTGTCTTGTTTAAATATTTTTTCCAATTTCAGACTGTATTATATTTAGGCAAAGTTCTTGCGCAGCTGCTTGTGTTCAGACAAAATGAAACCTCCATCTATTGGGTGCAGCACAACAACACTTCACATATCGATCAGATACGAAGCAACATTAGCATTCACTTGGAGTCCTGTTTCTTTCCACCTGGCGAGTGTAACTACAATAGCCACTCTCCTTTTAGCTCTGTTTTGGTAGAATGACAGAATAACAGAGATTAAATAGAGAGAAGATTTAAGAGCTATTGTGACAGACTAGCGCTAGTCAGGCCAGTTAGCAAATTAGCGAGTAGCACACAGTCACAGAATGTCAGCGAATGTCACCTTGCAAGCATGGCCGATGCTTAAGTGTCGACAACAAAAAAAGTGGTCAGCCGCAAAACCAAAACAATGAGCTGAAAGAAGCTCAAATGCTCTCTAGAGTTGGTGGGAACTATAGTCGAGAGATACGTCTCTGTGGATTATTTTATTATTACAAGCAACCCCTTTAACATTACGCATACCCATCAAATTTTTTCTGCTGTTAATATAAAAAAATGTCACGAGGGAAGCTTTAAGCATAAAATAACTTTGGTTTCTTTTGTAGAAATAACCTGTTTATGTTCCTCAAAGTGATGTCAAAATCTTACATTTCAAACAACACCCAATCCTACCCATACTGTGTCACTGTATATTACTTCTGTAATAACTACTGTGCCATAAACTCTGGAGAGAAGAGCTGAGCTGTTTACATTATATGTGTATTTCATAACTATCTGCATTATCATTGCTATTGTGTCTCCACTTCACATCAGACCAGACGAAGGTAATGAGGCTAAATTATTCTGCTTCATTATAAATTTATAGCCTCGATCAAATCAAAGTGTATTAGTCTGCCATCAATAATAAATGTGAATCTGCAAATATAACCAAACCCAGTGACTCATTTTGTCTGCAGTGGTTCATTAGGCAGGAGGAGTGAGAGCTGCAGTCTGGAATGATGAAAGCCTGGATGACCTTAGCCAGTTTTGCAAAAGGATAGAAAGGCTTCATTTTGGAGATACTGTATAAGTCTAGGTAAAATAAGAAAGACTTTCGGCCTATTTAGTAAAACTCAGATAACTGCCGACAGTCGTTCCTAAATGATGGTCTCTTGCGTTACATGGGCAGACAGTTTTATATCCTACAATTCAGATAACGAAACAAGTAATAGATCTGGGAGTTAATCACGGTGCTCTGAGATTACTGCCACTGCTGACAAAGACTCAAAGAGAACTACTTCAGATTTCTTTTGTTACAAGGGACAACTTTGAGGCACGCTGCACATACAGAAAGGCTTTTGTGCAAGATGAGGCTGTTCAAAACCATCAGGCTTGATATATAATGTGGGAATCGCTGACTACCCGAACAATGAGAAGGGACGTTATGATTATAGATTATGTAATTAGGAGGAGTTCATACAATGAGGAGGCTGAGGCATAAAAACTGAGCCTGGCAGGATTTAAATTAAAATATGACACCTATTCAGTGTCCACACGTACCATATAAGGGTGTATTTAGGTGGAAAAGGATTGAAGCTGGTGTTAAAAATATACTGGTTACAATAGCATTTTTGACTCTAAAACCATATATTTGGTAATGCTAACAGGCTTAGTAACCTGGAGTAAAAGAGGCTAAGGTGGGTTTTATAAAGGATATTGTTACTCTCCCATTCACTGACAATGCAGCAACTCTACATTTAACAGCTGTGTCATTTCTCTGGTTTCTGGTTTTGATAGAGAAATGCTTTTGTTGATTCACAGTCTCAAATATTGAAACTTCTCTCTAAATATTAAAATCTATTGTAGTCCTGTGTAGAACAAACACTTAAGCATATGTTCAGCAATTATGAACTGTTAAACCGGTGCTGTATCTGAGCCCAGACGACACATTGTAATGTTTTTATGTAATTACATAATCCATAGATGGCATTCACAAGCAAACACTCCTTGTTTCCTGGCAACTTCTCCTCTCAAGGATGAATGAAAAGAAGTGCTGAGGAGCCCTCAGGAATGCCCACAGGATCGGGCTTTCATTGAAAACCAAGGAGAGAGTTGGCGAGTGAAACGCATGACTCAGAAAACACTGAGCATCTCTTGTGTGTTTCTTTTGTAGTGGGAAACATGTCCAAACAACATATGGATACGTATGCACACACACACAGCCACACAGGCTGAAGAGCAATGTGCAATAAATAAACCTTTAATTCCTATAGTTTCTTGTCTCTCTTTTTATAGCTGCTGTGATCTGTGTAAGACGATATAGTCAAATGTGTCTAATCTGATGTTGACGTTGTATTTTGTTACGTTTTTTTTTTGTGAAGCAATAGATTGTAGCACTGTGCCAAGACAAATTTCCCCTCAGAGACAATAAAGTTGATCCTATTCTATTCTATACACATCGTGTACCTAGAAAAGTGATGCTGATGTACGAAAGTACAGTAACGATACTCGAGCAAATGTATTAAGTACTAACTATTAAATACTTTTTTATACTGCTTTATACACACACTATTTCCAACTACTAGTAACTTCACAGAATAAACATAAAATTTGATAGCATTGTTATACAGTACATATAATAACATGACTATATAAAATAGGTTAAATTAGCTCAAACATCACTGTCTACAACATTAAAATGCTGCCTACATGTTCATGCATCGATACATATTATTATTAATTTATATCACATGAATATAATAATTCTGTAAAAAAATAAAAAAACAGGGCGACTGCCTGCTATATTAGCTAAACATGAGGTTACTTTTGACTGTACATTCTCCGGTTGGACTCATACTGTTTAGTTAGTTAGTTCAGCTAAAAGTTTGGAAATGCGAGGACTTGGTACCATGGAAGTGCTATTCTGCATTTGCTTGTATTGCTTATTTGGATCCTGGCATGCTTTCCTGCCGGTGTATATTAAGTTGCATATGTGGTATTTGGACAGAAAAATTATGGATGTATAGGTATTAGTGACATTACATCCTATGCATTACCCTGCCTGTGCGAAGCATGATGGGTGGGGGTTGGGTTGCAAGAGGAAAAAACTTAGAGTTTAAAATGCGGCCATTTGACAGTGACCCCTGCAGGAGGCTGGTGGCATCATGGTGTACGAACATGGTTGAGAGCATGCCTTCATGATGGAGGCTGTCTGGATGCTGGACACTGAAAAACATTGACGAGACATTTAGAAGGCATGAAACTTCAGGAGGGTGGATGTGGAGGGGATGGCTTGCCTTGGCGAAATTAACCCCGTTGATGAATAGTGTTGTGGTGTGTGTGGTGTTGTGTGTGTGTGTGGTGGTGTAGTGTGTGGGTGACAGTACAGCTGTCCCTACTCACGCCGCTGGTCTTCGGGGAAGGCCCGATGGACATGCAGCACGTCCAGCAGGGTGCGACCCATGTGTGTTTTGACGGTGCTCGGGGCCGGGTCTGGTTTCGGCTTGCCTCGCGGGGTTCACTTTGGCATACAGTTCCTCTTTGAGTGCCATAACTCACTGCTACATCCATTCCGGGTATAGCCCAGCGCTCCTCGGCTGCGCTCTTGGGGTTTTTCCATTTATTAAAAATAAAAATAAAAAAGAGCGAGAAGGGGATGGAAGCCTGGTAGACTCATTCAAAACCGGACCTACTTGGGTTAAGCGGGGAAGCTGTAAGGAAACATCAAACCGTGCGAGGAAACGAGCCATTTTTCTGCGGTTGGGACGTGCAATACTCTGGAAGGCTGGGAATCAGCCTTACCTCCTGACGGGCTCGCACATGGAGTCAAAACATCAGCAGGGGGGTCAGGCCATGGGAAGGTCAGGTCCGCGCCTCTCCAAGGCCTCTGCCCCCGACTCACAACCCCCGGACCGACGGGTGAACATGGTCTGCGTCCTTGCTCCGCGGCTCGCATCCGGGGTCCACTGAACGCAGAGCTTCAGGGATGGCTGACTATATGAGCTTTGCGCCGGTTTCCATGATGATGTCTTTATTTATGATGGAGTCCTGGAGGCTGGAAGCGGGGAGGTTCAGGGCCTGTTAAAAAGGGTGGCTCAAACTGAGCAAGCCCCTCCAGTTAAAGGGACAGTACACAGTTGTGAGAGTGGAGGACAGGAAATTGCCGCGGAACATGCGTGTAAAGCCTGGGAAAGTAACGCGCCACTTTCTCCGGTTAGACGCGCTGCCTGTTCTGTGAACTGACATCAGTCCATTTTAGCTGAGCAAGTGTGACGAAAAGGTGTCGAGGTAGGGCTGGATGCTGGAAAAAGTTTGTCAACACTTCCTGTCTGCCTGAAGGGGTGTCGACATCTCGCGCCGTGCGCAAGTGTACAGGAGGGAGAGCAGGCACGCATCATCAGGTTGGCATAGCTACGGGTGGAAAACCCACAAAAAAAACAAACAAAAAAAAACCATTTTTTTTTCTAACTTAATACATTTTTTTCCGTTTTGTAATTATTATTATTATTGTTTTCCCCTTTATTTATTCAGATTATTCACTTTTTTAGGGAACAACCTGATCACATTCACACAGTTGTCACAAACCACTGTCTGATCTGCTGGCTGCTGAGTAGACCAGCTGGGGTTAAGGGCCTTGCTCAAGGGTCACTACCAACTTTCCCCACACAGATATATCCTGCACGGTAACAACTTGTTTCTCCAACCTTTGGACCACCACTCCTACATTTAAATGTGCATCATATTTTGAAATTGGTCTGGAGAGAGATAATAGACTTTTATTGGCCATAACTGGTAGCTTTAATGTGTCATCATCTAATCATATAAGGAAACAGTCTAATCTTTACTTCTACATTTAGTTTCATTTGAACTGGGCAATGTTAAAGAAGACCTTAGATTAATATTAATTGAATAAAAAATAGTCCTTGGTCATTAAGCAATCAAGATCAGCTTGTATTATTTTCCTGATATTGAAAATAAAAACAGAAGTAGCACTGATAAGTAAGTTGTATTGAAGCGTAACTGGTTATGCAAAGCTGAATTTCACTTTGTTGACACATGACAGTAGACGCAGTTTAACAACAACATTTTATTAACCAATATGTAAAGCAAAGATACAACCATCTGCTGATTCATCAATTCTAAAATTCCTATGAAGGGAAGGTCAAGCAGTGTAGAAAACGTTACGAATTTAAATATTGTACCTGATAAATTCTATAAACTTATCAAACAACTTGAACACAACCTGAGAAAAGTCACTTTAGGGCCATCACGTCTATATAATGAATCACTATGATAAGATTACATTATTGTCATTTAAAACATTGTTTGACACTTGGTCATTAACTTACACTCTCTCTAAAATCATCTCATACATCTGTTTGCTTCAACTTATTTCTACAAATGATAAGCCCCAGAGAATGTGCACCTAAAATATTAATGTCATAAAAGCAGTAATAGAGTTTGTAGTTAATAGCAGGAAGATTTAATTGTATCTAAATTAAAGATGTAAAAACTGTTTTGTTATTTACAAGAAAGATACACTTAATAAACTTTAATAGAAAAGGAATATTGTACATTACAGTTTTGTAGTTTGTTCAAAAAGATAAAACATCACACAGACACTCAGCTATGATTTTGCTTTGATATTAGAGCTGTCAACATTTCAGCTCAGAGACATTGACGGTAAGATAGTCTGACTGGAGGACATTAAGGTGATGGTCAGTAAAATAAAAATAAGATGGTAAAAATAGTCAAGACACTGCGGTTGCAGAGGACATGATGTCTACTCTACCATTTCACATGTTTACATACAGATGCATCATTTAAACAACAAAAAATAGTTCTGTTAATTGGAACCACAAAAACAATCAGAAACGCACAGAAACATACACTCCAAACATAAGTGGGAAAATGTCTCAGGCTACAAATGGGTCACTGGGAGCAACATTACGGTAAAAAGAAAGCCAGTCGGTAGTAAATTATTCCCAAAACCTTGATACTTCAAACCCACAAGTGGATGAATCTGAGAGGGTAAAGTGTTCCGGTCAACTCAAACAATCACACTGGTCTCTTAAAAGCTGCAACTTTGGAGCACATCAACAGAAAGGCGTCACTAAAACCTTGAGGAAAACCCCACGCTGAGACATTTAAAACAGAGGTGTTGTCCTGGTGTGACCTGGTGTTTATTACAGACTATACCACGAATGATGACTTCTGTTTGAAATCCCCCTGAAAACAAACACATCAAATATCAGAACATTTTCCTTTTGCTCTCAGTTAAACATAGAAAATAATAATAATAATAAAAAATAATAATAATACTGAAAACAGGCAGGCTCATGCTTACATCTTCATCGTCACCACCGTTTAATGATGGGGGCTGGTAGACCACGTTGGACTTTGGTTTGCTGCAGAGGGAAGTAGAAACATGTTGAGCATTCTCACAGAGAGAGGAGACCTGGTTATGCATGTAATGTGAAGGAAACTTCGATTTCACTGAGCAAAGACAGTAAAATCTGTTTGGAGCAGCAAACCAGTGAATGCAATATTACAATATAGAAAGAAAATCCTCTTACCTTTCACTCTTCTCTGTAAAGGGAAGAATGGAAACAACGTCAGTAGGATGAAGTATTTGGTGCATACAGTATTACATATATACAACTGATATTCAACAGTCTAGTGGTGCATTAGTGCTAATGTTGTGTGATTATCTTAACATTTTAAATTAAAGCCTAAAGTGACTTTGGTAAGAGACACAATGCATGAATTTCTCCTTTCTAAGTAGCTCCACATCTTGCAAACTGGACGGATAATAACAGAACAATATTGCCCTTTTTTTTTTTCATTGTAATTATGAAGTTTGTGACTCAACTACTTTTTTGATAATTGCAGCAACCAGTCTCACAGTGAGGTTAACTTTGTGCTGACCGTGTGTGGCGGTTGACAACATTTGTTTTTTAATTGTTAAAGAAGAAAAACACTTGCCTGCTATCACTAGCTATCTCTGTTACCTTAACTGCTGCCTGGGTCTGAACTATGTCCAGCAACTAGTTTCTCAGTTTAATTGTTTTAATGCCGTGTTATCTATTCAGGAGGTCAAAGGTTTCTGGTAAAGTCAACGCTGAATAATGCCATGATTTTAATATAATGTGGAAGACTCACTGGGCAGGTATCCTTTCTTGTGGGCGTACCAAATGCCGACTCCCAGTAGGACCAGAAGCAACAGAACAATGATTACGCCAGCAACTATTCCTCCAGTGTTGATGTCACCTTGAGGAAAACATCACAGTTTTAAGTTATTAGCTGAATTACAGTCAAACATCATGATATGGTAAACTAGTACATTTGAATAAAAACAACAAACGTAAAACTCATTAATGCAGCAGCCAACTGAAGAAAGGAAATGAAGGTTGTATCTTAATATTGAGCAGTTACAGTTTCTATTTAGATAAACACCTTCAATGCAGCCGAACCAGTTTTACTTTGAAGTGTTGGCATGTAGCACACTCCACTGGCTGAAACTAGTTTAACAATTACCGTCTCTTGAATATTTAACCACAGGCTAAAGCATGTTTTAGAAATTGAAGAGAAGAGCACTTACGGACTTCCATTTGCATAGCTTTACAGCGCTGAGGAGGACCGGCTTCGTTGAAAGACTCACAGTAGTACTGAGCTGAGTCCATCTTGGTTACGGCGGGAAACTCCTGAGGAGACAGACAGGGGAGTTTTAATTTCAAAGGCCATTAAAGACCACAACTGTCAAAGTAAAGACAAAGATTTGAAAGTAATAGCTAGTAGCTGACCAGGTCGCCATTGTTTGTATTCAGTCTGTAGGTGGCATTTTGGAAGCCAGCAATCTTGGAAGGTTCAGGGGGCAAAAGGACGCCATTTTTGTACCACTTGTATTGGGGCGGAGGTGAGCCGTCACTGTCATGGCAAGACAAGAAGGCCGTATTGCCCGTTGTCACCGAGGTGGGAACCCTACACAAGGGCGGAGACGGAGGCACTGCGGGACATAACATTCGGTTTTTTACAGGTCTCTACATGTACAGTTCACATCAGAATATTAGTCATTGTATAGTAGTGATGTGAGTCCAGGTGGATTAAAAATGAAAATATGTGTTTGTAGAATGTAAATACAAAGGATCTTTACCCAGAACAGTCAGCTTTACTCTGACCTCCCCTGGCTGGCCGTTGCCAGACACCTCACAGTCGTACACTCCATTATCTTTACGGGTTGTTTTGGTGAATCTCAGATTACTACCGTACATTGTGACTCGGTCGGCATATGGCGCTGTGGAAGAGTGACAGCATTACATTACAGAAATGTATAGAAAATGCTTGGAAAGTTTCAATCTACACCATAAAACACATGGTGAGAGGCAATCGTCATCAAGTGACCTGACATTTAAAATTTGTGATTTTTGAATTTGAATTTTGCAGGAGCAGTTGGATCTGATATAAACATGCCTCACCTACTTTTTGTAGGTAAATTGCAAGGAATTAAAAAAAGGTTGAGGTTGATTTAAGGTTAAGATATGTGAGAGCATTTTAAAAAGAAATAATTAAAATAGTAAATAGAAGATATGTGTGCATGGGCAATGCCTACATGGATAGATACTGTGTTGGTTTACTTGTACACCTCATAGCTTAGGAGTTATAAGCAAAAGCAAGTAAAAAGGGTTATAAACAGTGACGCTGCTGTTAGTGCTAACCCTGCTCAGTTATGTCTTAATCCAACTTTCCACCAAACTGAATTAAAATCTTTCAAAGTAGCATTTGAGGTAAAATCTACTTACTTGTTGGCTTCCCATCAAAAATCACATACGCCTGTGAGCCTTTCTGGTCCATATATTTCCACTCAACTCTAGCATTTGAACCAAAGTCGGGTGAATACGAGCATGTAAGGTCAGTCCCTGAAATAAGAGAGTTGACAATAAATCCTGTAAGAACACTACTGCAAAGGTTTTCTTTAGTTATGCAATCTGAAATTAAAAAGGAATTATGCAAAAGAATACATTTGCTCCATGATCTTATAACCTCTCATTAAACTCCATCAGAAATCAAAATCACAGGCAGTTTTTACGCCATTGATGAAGACCAGACAACTTTTACAAACTTAAAACACAATCATAAAAAAACTGCTCCGCTATGTGGCTGCACATCCTTCAGCATCAAGTCCTCCACAAACTGCTCAACACTGATTCAAGTGAGCAGATTTTAAACCAAACATGGAAAATCGTAGAAAATGATCACAGGGAAGTTGTCACAAGAGTGTTTTCCTCACATTAAAACAGAGCAAAAAGAAGACTGCATGCAGGAAACTAGTGGATACCAGATATACCACGACAATACAGTATAACCAGCTCCCCACAAACTGGAGGAAATCCAACGTCAGTGCACTAGGAATCAAATTGACCTTAAAACGACCATAAAAGGAGACAACTTATACACAGAGGTTTTAAAGGAAAATATGCACTGAATCAGTGACATCACTGGTCCCCTGTCAGTCATCTTTCTCTCTGTGTGTGTGTGT